TCCTGTCCACATAGAGGAGGAAGGAAGGATCCCTGGAGAGTCTCGGAGAAAAGGTTTTGTGCCCTCAGGTGGGGCTTACCCCTCGTATTTATAACCTTAATTTATACAGTGAGCGCCCTGGAAGCAACGCCTCTTGTATTGTTATGTACATAGTCCGCGCCCGAATGCTGTAAATACGTCGTTCTGTGTATAAATAAAACGAGCCTGTTTTTGATCTTCCATTGTCGGAGCCTTTGTCGTCATTCCTTGTGCTTTGACATAAAATGTCAGTCGGCAGAATCTTTCCAAACTGGATTCAGAATTATTTTTTAGCTGCTCTAAAATAGGTTGAATTGTTGGTGGCTGAAAAGCCAAACAGGATGCCATTGAATTTTTTAGGGTGCGGCTCTGTGATCTGTTGGGTTAAAAATTCAGCAAGAAGGTGGGGCACTGGGTAGTGCTGAGGTGCTCAGACTCCAGGGCTGCGGGTCACACAGATCTTTTCTATAAAGCTGCACACCTGGAGCTCTCCTGCTTCTGTTTGGTCTTAGTACCTTTATTCCAAGGGAGCTGCTGCTCTGAGATCAAAGTCACTTTGCTATCCCCTGATTTCCTGGGGTAAAGGGTGGGCACTGGGTTCATGAAAGACAAAGTCAGGTTGGTGAGATAAAGAAGGGTTACATGGGCTTTGGAAGTACTAGTCACCTCCCTTGCAGCTCTTTGTCCCTGCTTCCCTGCTAACAGAGCCCTGTTCTCCCCCCCTCCCCCATGTACATTTTCCATGTGGCCTGTTCAGGACCTCAGGCCTCATGGTTATAAGATGGCTGTCATAGCTCCAGGCATCACATCCAGATATGACTATGTCCAATGTAAGGTGTGTGGGGACAGATGCTGCTTCTTTTCCATGTCTCTTTTTAAGATAAAGGGAACCTTTTCAGAAGCTGTGGTTTCAGGCCAGGGGCAGTGGCTCATGCCTGTCATCCCAGCATTTTGGGAGGCTGGGGCAGGAGGATCGCTTGAGCCCAGGAGTTGGAGGCTGCAGTGAGCTATGGCTGCGCCACTGCACTCTAGCCTGGGTCTAGAGTGACCCTGTCTTTAAAAAAAAAAAAAAAAAAGCAGCCGTGCCTTCAGCTGACGCCCCTGCCGTCTCTTGGCTAGAACTGCATCACACACCCATGACTGAACCAGTCAGCGCGAAGGGTACAGGACTGTCATGATGCTGACGGCTGACGCATTTATATTTTATGCCAGGCATAAAATACAAATCTTACACATATTGACTCCTCTAACGCCTAACAGTCCTTCGTGGTGGGTGTCTCTCTTTTACAGATGAGGAAGCAGGCTCAGACGTGCCACATCTTGCCCCATGACACAGCCAGCACGTGGCCAAGATGGGAGTCCCAGGGCAGTCGGGCACCAGAGATCACACCTTTTTGAATGCTGTGCTTTCCTGTGTCCCAGGCCTCGAGTCAAGCCCAGCCCACATGACAGGTGAGGAACGAGGGCCATGTCCCAGGCAAACTTTCTGGCACAGAAGCCGGGGCACTAACTTCTTGCTGGTAGCACCTCGATGACTGGGCAGGAGCTGGCTGGGGGGAGGCTGGTGTGGGCCCCCTGGCCTCCACCCCGTGCCAGAGTGGCCTGTCTCACGCTGGGCTCGGCTCCAAAGGGAAGCGGTCAGGAAGGGCTTCTCCAAGAGATGGCATCTGGGGGCGGGGGGAGGCCAGATGGCCACCTGAAGGAGAGGGGACAATTCAAGTGTAGTGTGGCTGCAAAGTGGAGGAATGTGTGGTCTGTGGTGGTTTCAGACTGAAACTCTTGAGAACTCCCGCCAGTTAGAAAAACAGAGTGCCCTGTCCAGTTGCAACTGGGTCTACCCGGGAATGTCAACTGTGCACTGGATCTGCTGCTCCTTCTGTTTGCTGGAATAGAGTTTTATTGCGGCCACCCCACCCCTTTGTCACACTTGTCACTTGGCTGTATGCTGCTGAACCAGAAATTCAATCCACTGGACCCAACCAGAGCTCTGACCGGGCTGGGAGCAGGAGTGGGTCGCACCTCTGGGTGCCTCTCCGTGGGGGCTGGGGAGGTGTGGCTGCGTCGTAGAATGGCCGCGTGGAGCTGGGGTTCCTGCCGTCTTCGAAGCACGCTCATGGCAAGTGCACGGGCACTTGGAGGTTCTTTGGCAACCTGCCTTCGCCTCTCCCCACCATCGTCTGAAGGGAGCTGAAGACAGGGCAAGTCGCCCACGTCAAGCCAGGACTTTCACAGGTTCCAGCAAAGTGGCACTTGGCAGCTGACAGGGTGTCATGGAGCTGTTGGTGGCATCTCAGCACCTGGGGAAGAGCAGGCAGGCGGATGGAACCAACAGAGACTGGGGCGAGGCTCCACTGTCCTCTGGGCACTTGCCTGACCTTGGCCCGATGCACACTTGGGGGCTCTAGTTTCGTGAGCCAGGAGACCCCCCGTTTTTGGTCCAGCCAGCCTGAGCTGGGGCCAATCACCTGCAACCGAAGGGTCCTGGCTGCCACACTGTGGCTACTGACACAGGGGCCTCGGACACACAGCACTTGCCTGTGTGCGCGTGGGGCAGAGGGACATTCTCTAGCTTCGCTCATGGAGGGGGAGAGGTCGCTGCTTTGCCTTGCTCCTGGAGTGCGGTGAATTTCCAGAACACTAATGTCCCCGTGCTGCAGTTACCGTGTGTGTTACTGACCCTGTGTGCCGAGCTCTGGGCTCTGGACGGCTGGTGATCAGGAACAGAAGGAAACATGAACCGACAGTCCCTGTCCAGACAGGGCAGAGGGGCAGCGGCTATTGTAATCTGGTCATTCGGGAAACCGACATCTATGAAGCCACAGTTGTGGATTTTCACGGAATTCTTGCTTCCTTTCCTTTTTTTGGCCAGAAAAATCACTGCTGAATGAATGTTTTCTGCAACTCAACCACCTCTGCCAACCCCACTTCCCTGGAAGGAAGGCAGAGCCGGAGTACAGCCAGTTTCCTCCAGTACGACTTCGCCCAGGAGTCTGTATTCATTTAAAACCCGAACACAATTCTGTGATTTCTAAAGCAGCGCTGATACAGTATTTCTAAAGATAAACCGTGTTTATTTAGCATCTGAAGTATGCTTGGGGAAAAAAGGACACAGAAGTTCTCTCTTAAGTAAAACATGAAGCAAGTCAGCACAGAACAGACACTAAGGACTCCAACTTTAAAAATGGTTTATTTTTTCTTTAACAAAATTTTAGAGCTTTCCTCCTGTATAGCCCAGTCTAACCCCAAATTAAAAAACAGAAAACAAAAAAAGGAAGGAAGGAAAGTAAAGAAAGAAAGGAAAGGAAGAAAGAAGGAGGAAAGAAAGAAGAAAGGAAAGGAAGAAAGGAAGGAAAAGAAAAAAGAACGAGAGAAAAAGAGAAAGCAAGCGCACAGCCGACCCGCAGGCAGAGAGAAAGAGAGAGAGAGAAAGAAAGAGAGAAAAAGAGAAAGCAAGCGCACAGCCGACCCGCAGGCCCCGGCGGGCTGCGGAGTGCACCCCCTGCTGGACAGCACTTTAAGGCACAGCCGCCCCCACTCTCTCGGGACTTCCATTAATAGACACGTTCAGTGAGGCCTCTAGGCTTCCACAAGCAAAGCTCTTCAGTTATTACATTAATATTTTATTACCATAAGATGTACTGAAGGAACATACTAAGGAAATATGTCAGTTAAAGTAAAAGAAACAGAACGGCTTGTACACAGAAGGGCAGGCTTCCAGCACAATCACGGCGCTGACAGTTTTGGCGTCAAAACCCCTCCACGTGCATCTGCGAAGACGGGCTGCAGCGCACGCCGAGTCTCCCGCGGCCGAGTAGCGTTTGGGAACTGAGCAGCTTGCTGTCGGAGCCCAGCTGCAGCACCCCGAGCGCCTCCACAGAGGTGGACACGTCATTCATGACAAATGCTCAAGCGTACAGAGGAGATGAGGGTTTCTCTCTAATAACGGTTTCGACGGTGCTGGAAGGGGAACAGGGGACAGGCACGGCCACCTGCTTAGCGTCAGCTCTACGGACACGGTGACGTGGGCAAGAGCTGAGCGTGCAGGCGGCGACGCTGCGCCAGTGTCGTTTCCCTCCCATCTCAACGCAGTTCTGGTTTCACATCCGCGACGCGGGGCTGATGGGGAACCCGAAACCCAGGTGACGACCAGGCCAGGAACGTACGGCACTGAGCGGTGCTGCTTTCCGCTCGGCCGGCGTCTGAGAACGTTCCCTGTCCCATGGTCCCAATCGGTTCGGGGCCGCAGTGCTGTGTTTCTCACACATGCCCGTTAGATCCTTTAAGTTGAACAGGGATCTGCGCTGAATTAAGAGGAAGGAGCCTTTATGCTTCCTTTTTCTCATCTGTTCTAACTGACGCGACTCAGCCTGCCCAGGGCAACCGACTCCGCCAGGCTTGTCGGCAGCGGCCCTGCCCACCAGGCCTCCAGACCGCAGAGGCTGAGGCGCTGTGGGCAGCAGCGGCCGCAGCAGTGAGAATGTTCTGGTCACAGACCAGCTAGGTCAGAGCGAGCCCTCAGAGCTGGGCATACCCGAGGCTGCCTTTGCCCTAGCAGAGCACGTGCAGCGTCAGCGGGTCCCATCTGTCTCCTCACATGGAGAGAGCCAGCACTTCAGCGTCACGGGTTTAACTCAGTGCAAAGGGGAGACAGGAGATACGTGAGGACCAGACAGTGTGGGGGCAAAGGACGTCCAGAAAGCAGACCACCCCTTCCAGTGAGGCACAAGCCCGTCCAGCCCAGCAGCAGGAGATGGGGTGTCGGAGCCTCGTCAGTGCAGATGACCGAGAGTCACCTCAGCGGTTACGGAAGCGACTGAGTACACGCACACTTTACTCAGATTCATCAGAGCTGAGCAACGTGCCATCTTATCCACACCTGTGCTTAATGCACAAGTAGTAAATTTTCTGGTAAAAAGGGCGGCTGGGGGTCAGGTGTCGGGTGAGGTCAACACCTGGCTGGCACCTGTGCGCATGGCATCTAGGTTGGCGCGTGTCGCGGGCTGAGCGACCGAGTGCACCTGCCTGGCCCGAGAGGAGATGTCCTGTGCTTGTGACGAAGCAGAGTTTGGGACCTGAGGCTCCACAGGAACCCGCTGGTCCCTCCACAACCCGACGACACTCGCTTTCGTGGAATCGACCAGATGGCCGTGCTGGGGCGCAGAGCCTGGGCCCCGTGTCCCGGGAGGCCTGCTGTGGCCAGAGCTATCTGAAACTCCCAACATGGATCGAAAGAGAAGCTTCTTGTCCTCGGGGCCGGCCAGGTGTGTCTGCACTGGAGAGGAGGCCACTGCTCTGCACGCGGAGGGCTTCTCGGCTGTGGGAGACAGAGGCAGTCACGGATGTGGCGGGGGTCACGGAGTTGAAGGGTTTAGAGTAACTCCAACATTCATTCTAATTCCCAGGGGCCAAGTTAGAATAAGCTGCAGGGACATGCGTTGATAATTTTGACAGCTACGTCCAAACCACCCACCTGAGGACCCCCGGTTACCCCCGCACCGGCCCCACGTGCGAGAATGGTGGGTTTCCCACACCCTGGCCATGTGGCGTGTCGGACTCTGGGCTTTTCCAATCTGCTGGGTGAAAATGTCTCACAGCAGAGTAATCACTTTTTCTGTGCTTTTAAAACTGAACTATAATGTTCACAGAGTACACACAAATCGTAAACACACAGCTCCACGGATCATCGCACATGTGCAGCCCTGGGTGACACAGTGCAATGGCTGCCTTTGCCCCTTCAGTCCCCGGCCCAAGGGAAACACCCCTCCAACTCCCACCCGGTAGACTGGCTTTTGCTGGCTGTGACCCGCACACACACGCCGTGCCACACTGGGTGCTCAGCACCACTGCCCTTCCCACTGTCGGGCAGCCTTTCAGCTCCATCTGAATTTGGCCAGGGGAATGAAGCCACTGTGTGATTTCTGTGGAGAACGTAACTTCAGAGTAGGCTTGCTGGGCTCTGGGAGGCGCACAGGAGACCCCGTAGGAGGCACCGCCACATTTTCCACAGTGGCCGTCTAGTCCCACCCCGGCACAGGGGGCCCGGTCACTCTGCGTCCTCGCCACGCTGGTGTCAGCAGTCTTTGCCATTTTAGCGTCTCTGGCGGGTGTGCAGGGATACCGGAGAGGAGCTTGAATTTACCTTTCTCTTATCATGAATAGAGTTGGTTGAGCATATTTTTATATGTTGGCAAGTAATCTGCATTTCCTTCTCTGTGACCTGTTCATAACCTATACCTGTATTTTTATGGGATTGTTGGTCTTTTTCTTATTTACTTGCAGGCTTATTTCCAGAATTACAAACAGCCATATCCCTTGATCCAGCAATTCCACTAGCAGAAATGTGTCCTACAGATACACCCACATCTGCATCGCAAAATGGTGAGTGCACGAGGTTATTCACCGCGACAGCGACAGACTGGAGATTCCTGGAAAGTCAGGAGGTGGCACCTGACCTACGCTGCAGTCTACCTGTGCAGCAGAACGCCAAGCGCCAACCACATGACATGGGGTAAGTGAAAACCGCAAGGTATGCCAAGAAAGTTCTGTGTCAAAAAAGAAGGAAAAGCATGCTCATGTGCCCCTGTACACAGAAGATCTGACAGGACGTGCAGGTGACAGCCATGCAGGTCCATCCAGGAGTGGCTGTGGGTCTGGGGGAGGAGACTTCTCAGTGAGCCTCCTTGGGTGGCTTTTGAAATTAGAAGCATGTGACTCTATTAATGCTCCAAAAAACAGATAAAATGAATGAAACACAATACAGTAACTGGTTACCTCGTGGTGCTCATAAAGTTACAACCATCCTATTACGCAAATGAGCCTGAGGCTAAGATTTTGGTGACAGCAACATGAATTTTAAAAATGCCCTACCTGAAACAACACAGGTAGAAATGAAGTTGACAGGCTTGGAAAACTCTGGATGACTCAAAATGACAGCCCTGCTGACAGCTAAGGCTCTGACAGAAGATGCACACGAGAAGTCAGAAGGAGACAGTTTCATCACGTTTAAATGTGGAAAAAGGCAACATTTGAGTGTGCGTGAAATATTAATATGTGAGACACACACAGACTGTTTTGTGTGACTTGCCAGTAGGAAAACCCCAAAGCAGCCAGATCCCTCGCTCCGAGGGCACCAGGCCTTGCGAGGTGCAGTGTTGTAACTGGGGGTGTAGACTGTCCTTGCCTCCTGGGGATCCCCGACCCGGCGGGGAAGGTGCCCAGGAGTCACCTGAGGAGGAGCCCTCCAGTCAAGGGGCGCGCCTGGAGGAGGGGCCCGCGGGAGAGGGACAAAGCAAGCAGAGCGTCGTGGTCTGAGACACCACAGCAAGGACGACTCTGGGCGCTGTAGGTCCACGTGAGACTGCAGAATGAACAGACGGGTGAACTCACTGAATACGTGTCTACGGAGCACCAGCAGAAGCACTGTTCTAGGTTTTTTTCCTACATAGGTAGGAAAAAGTAAAGTCTACCAAGGCAGGAGCAATTAGAACACAGGGAAGGCTGACTTAGGAGAGAGCCAGAGCTACTGAGATTGGGGGTGGGAGAGGATGGTGACACCCACAGGCCTCCGGTCTGGCGCGTGTGGAGGTGATGCTGCGGGCCAGGTGCTGGGGCTCTTGGTGGTGAGTTGGCTGAACAGAGTGGCCTGAACTTCACGACTTCCTGTGGGCTGTTCCAGGAGAGATCCTGGCAGGTGAGCAAGCCCAGAGGCCAGGAGAGGGCCGGGCTGTGCACAGAGGTCCTCGGCTCCCTGCTGAATGGAAGTGGAGCGAGCTCCCCAGGTGGGGAAAGAGCAGGCAGCAGCAGCAGCGGGAGGTCAGGCGGAGGGCAGGAGCCCCTACAGGCAGGCAGAGGAGAGCGTGGATGGTGGGGCCCTGGAGGAGGAGGTTGGGGCACTGAAGATGCAGTGTCCCCTGGGGGAGCAGCCAGGCTCTGTGAACCTCGGCGGCAGCTGGATGGGGTGCACGCTCGGGAGTGCTTGCGGTTTTAGGTGCTGGAGACTGAATGAAAAGCCGTGAGCCGGGAAGTGCGGCGAGGCTGTGCGTGGGGGGAAGGAGGACAGCGGTGCCCGGGGAACAGGACGGGCAGAGGTCTCACGGTGCCTCTGTGGTCCATGTCGCCTTCACACGTTCCACAGAGAGCTCCAGACCAGGAGGAGGCAGTCTAAAGACGCCGCCGCAACGTGCGTAGCAGAGAAGAATCCCACACTGTGCTTCTCCACGATGCAGTTTTACACAGGGGAGTTCCCTGCCTCCGTTTCCCAGCAGGAGTAAGAAAAAGAGAGTGGAATGTGTCAGTGCAGTGTCGGTGCGCATCCTAATAATTACCTTTCCTTCTTCCCCAGAGCGAGTTGTTGCTGTTTTCCTTTTCCAGTGTCGTCTCTGATTGTACTGAAATCGTCATCGTCATCAACCAGGAGATTCTACATTTCAAAATAATTAATGAGCAATGTTTTCAGACATCTTTTAGCCTACATTTAAAAGAGATATGTTTTAAAAATTACCTAAATTGACAAAAGGAGATATTCAAATTTACATAAACTAGGTTAATAACTGATAAAAAACTTTCTAGTGCTCAATGAAAACAAATTCAGGGGGTGGCAGGAAAAGGTTCATGAGGGAAACTTCCAGCCGTCGGACCTTTGCCCGCAACCATTAGGTTATTAAGTATGAAATGTCCGATTTCCTTAGGTGCTAAGTTTGACAGTTGATCTGACATTTCACTTTGACACTTCTTGTTTTAGGTTTATTGTGAAGCTACATCGTCACTCTTTCAAACGCCCGGTTTGGCTTGTGATTATCTTTTAAGTATTTTTTTAGAGCAATTTTTGTGAAACTATGGATAAGTCAAAGATGAGTGTTATTTTCGAATATGAGTTCAGTCATGGAACCAATGCAGCACAGACAGCTCGAAATATCAATGAAGTGTTTGGGAAGGATGTGGCTAATGAACTCACAGTACGTCAGTGGTTTGAGAAGTTCAGTTCTGGTGATTTTAATCTTGAAAATGAGCCACACAGGTGACCTGAGACCAAGGTGGATAATGATGAGCTGAAAGCTGTGGTCGAAGCGAATCCATCTCAACCTACATGTGAATTAACAGTAAGGTTTGGCGTTACTATTCCAACAACACTGGACCATTTAAAACAAATCGGCAAGGTAAAGAAGCTGGATAGATGGGTTCCACGTGAATTAAACATCAGAAGAGAAATCGTCTCCAAGCTTGCCTTTCTTTGCTGTTATGATATAAAGGTGAACCACTTCTACACTGTACTGTTACATGTGATGAAAATTGGATTCTTTTTGGCAGTCACAAGCATTCGGCAAAATGGTTGGATAAAGACGAAGTGCTGAAACACGGTCCAAAACCGAATATTCATTAAAAAAGCTAATGGTGTCTGTTTGGTGGTCCAGCACTGGTATTATCCACTACAGCTTCATGAAACCTGGTCAGTCAATTACCGCAGATGTCTACTGCAACCAACTGGATGAAATGATGAGGATGCTTGTGATTAAGCAGCCAAGATTGGTCACTAGAGACAGACCAATCAATCCTCTTGAAAGATAACGCTCGACCACATGTCGCACAAACAACGCTGCTCAAACTACAGAGGCTGGACTTAGAAACTCTCTGTCATCCACTGTATTCTCCAGACCCTGCACGGACTGACGACCTCTTCTTCCAGGTTTTGACCACTTGTCACAAGGACAAATACTCAATTCTCAACAAGCTGTGGAAAACACCTTTCGAGATTTCATCACCACTCGCTCTCCAGGCTTCTTCGCTGCTGGCATAAACACGCTACTGTTAAGATGGCAAAACTGTGTCGATAGTTTAGGTGTACACTTTGGTTAATTATACTGCTTCTTGTTTGAGATATAATAAACTACACTTTTGATTTGAAATTGGACATTTCATATTTAATGACCTAATACAAATGCTCCCCTGGGGGAGAGCCCAACACAGGGGCTCTAAAGGGATCTAAGTTAAGAACATAAAGCACAGGAAGGATCCATTGGGCCCCAACAGCTCTCTCATCACTGTGCTAGAAACACAGCCTTTTGTGTTAATAAAGTATTAATACTTTATTAATACTGTCAAACTGTCAAAATACATAGTTTTCACCTATGTATTTCTATAGCTAAATGTGAGCTTCTGAAAGACGTGGCCCATGTCCTTTAATTCCTCAGAACTTCTCTCAAGCTTTAACCGCGGGGCTTTATGAATACAGGCTGCTGGGTAAGTTCCGCCGAGTGAGCGAGCCTCCTTGCCGCCCGGGATCTGCAGCTGCTTTTCTTCTTTTTTCTTTTTTTAATTACGGTAAATGTTGGCCTCTCTCCTGGCTGCCCACAGGGAGGCGGCCTCAGTGAGTGCTTGGCATATAGTAGAATGCTCAGTAAATGTCAGCTATTGATAGTATTAGCCTTTTCCCGTATTTGCTTCATTTCTAAAGGAAAAACTTAATAGATTCTGTTGATGTCACTCCCCTACCCTAGAGGTACCTGTCCACTGAGTTTAATGTTGTCGCTCCCACCTTCACTTTTACTCTATGACTCTTTAGGGACATAATCCTCAGTGAAACCCAACATGGTTTTATACTGTATATAAATGTTCATCCTGTGACGTTGTTTTCTTTTTCAACATTAAATATTTGGGTGTATTTTCATATTGGCGTATGTAGCTCTGGATTATTCATTTTAACTTCTGTGTATTATGCCACTGTATCAATACATTTTTTTCATTTACCCCCTTTTTGAGGGTCATTTAAGTTCTTTCCACTGTATGCTATTACAAGTAGTGCTTCATATCTTTCCTTCTAAAGGATGAAATGACTACTTTTCACATTTAAGTCTTCAACTGAAATTGCTGTATATGGTGTGAGCAGAGGTAGATGCGGGTTTTATAGGACCTGAAGCTTATATAAGTTGAATATCCCTAATCTGAAAATCCAAAACCCAACATGCTCCAAAATCTAAAACTTTAAATGCTGATATGATGCTCAAAGGAAATGCTTATTGGAGCATTTCAAATTTCGAGATATTCAGATTTGGGATTAGGGGATGCCCAACCAGTAAGTATAATGCAAATATTCTAAAATCTGAAAAAAATCTGAAATCTGAGATACTTCTGGGTCCCAAGCATTTTGAATAAGTGATACCCAACCTGTATAAATCTGGTAACCCTTTTTAAATCAAAATTATGAATACAATTTTCCTATGTAGATAACCAGTTCTCCCAGTACCACTTTCTGAATAATTCATTTTTAACATTGCCTCAAATATCTGTCACATTTCCCGTGTGTGGTTCTGGGTTTGCACTTCCTGTCCCTATGCATCTGGCTGTCTGTCTCTCTCTCCTGGCCTCTAAGCCACACTGTCGCCACGGCAGTACATCCGTCTCAGTGCTTGGTAAAGCAAGGACCCTGGCTTGTTCTTCTTTAAAAATATCTTAGCTCTCTCTGGCTCTTTGCTCCAGCATATGAATTTATTCTGTTTATTTGATTTAGCGTAATCTATATGGATTTTTCACTGGAATTATATTAATACTAAATGTGTCCATTTGGGAAGAACTGACATCTTGCTGTTGTGAGGCTCCCTGACAAAAGTATGATGGCTCCACACCTGACCGCGGCTCTAATACTGTTCAGTAATATTTTTCTAATCTTCTCTAGAAGGTTTTAGAAATCTTTTGCTGGCTGTATTCCCAGGTCCCTTGCAGTTTTATATATTGATCCTGGAACCTTTAGAACTCTCATCAGATCCAGTGGATTATCTGGATAGTCTCTTCAATCTCCTTTGTAAGAACAGTTTTATATTTTCAAGTGTCTTTTACCTCCCATTCAATTTTTAGTTATTTATTTTTCTTTGAGGGGAGGGAGGTCACATTACATTGCCTACATGTTTAGTACAATGTTGAATGAAAGTGGTGATTAAGGGAATCCTTATTTTGGGTCTAATAAAAATACTTTTGAAGTTTTTGCTACGTGTGTTGCTATAGGTCCTATGTTAGGTTGAGGTGTTTCCATCTATCCTAATTTGCTGTAAGTTCTTTTTTTAAATATGAATGAACATGAATTTTTAACATTAAATTTTATTCTATGCTTTTTCTGCATCTGTTGGATTAGCCATACGATTTTTCTTCTTTTATCTGGCAGTACGGTGTATAACATAATATACTGACACTGCTATCCTTGCATTCCTTGAATAAACCTACCCTATGGTCACATAGTAATATTTTTTAAAACATACTTGCTGGTTTTGACTTGATTTTATTTTATATTTATGGTCATAAGTGAAATTAGTCTCAATTGTCCTTTATTGTCCTTGGCAGCTTTGGTATTGGAGTTCTGTTTGCCTCATAAAACAGGCTGTCTGGCTTTCCCTCTTTTTTATCCATTTTCTGAAGTAATTTGTATAAAATGGGATTATCTGTGTCTTGAAGATTTGATAAAACTTTTCTATAAAATCATTTGATTGTTGAGTCTTGTCCAAGTGGTAAATTTGCTATTAATGTTAAACAACTTCAACTTACCTTAACACCAATAGTATCTCCATCTTTCAGGTAATAAGGTGCCCCTTGCAAACTGTCTTGCTTTTTCTTCTTTTTTCTCTTGGTGATTTGCTGGTTCTATAGAAAAATGAAACATCCTAATCAAAACTCGGCCTCAAATTCTTACTAAATTCCCCATCACTGTGAAAAATTGTAGTTAACCTAATCGTTATGCCAGTAAACCCCAATGTCTCTGAGAAAGCCCCACAACTTTACCCAGCTAGATATTGGAAGCCACTCGAACTTTTCAGGGAAGTATTTGGCAATTTCAGTTTTCTCCACAGGAAGAGAATAGAAATGGGCGACCCTCTGCCTCAGGGAGCCGGCAGTCCAGCCTCGGGCGGTGTCCCACACCAAGTCCACGGCCGGCGCGTAGGCCCTCACCCCTGGGATGCGCATCTGTGTCCTCAGCAGCACGTCCTGGGGGCTGCAGCCGAAAACAGTCAAATGCCAGACTTAACACAAGCAAATGAAAAGCACACACGGTAAATGCTGGGGCATGGTGGGCGAAGCTTCCCCTTCGACTCTTCTGGTTTTTATAAGTAGTGATTTTCCTTAAATACTGAATACTAGTGGGAAACCCTTATTCCCCACTTTGATTTTCTTCAATCCTGACGAAGAGCAGCGTGAAGATCGCATTCTGAGTCTGCAGCAGGGTGCCCTGGAGAGGGCGGGGGACCTTCCTTGGTGGGGAGGGATGAGAGGCCCCAGCCTGGCTGAAGTTCCCCCAGGGCGGGCAGCTGGCAGGAGATGGCTGGTCTGAGCAGATGGCCGTGCTCTGGATTTGGGGCGCTGTGTGTCTGGGTTGCGTAGGGTAGCGGGGAGAAGAAGCCGGGGGTTACAGTTGGGAAGGGAGACGCAACACTGCAGGAGCAGAAGAAAGAGAAACTCAGCAACGGGGAGAAGAAGTGAGATGTGTAGAGACTGTTACAGGACACGAATGCGGCCTCGCAGACTGAAAGGGGAGGCTGTGCGCAGGGATCCTGAGACGCCGATCCCCGGGGGACTGTCAACTGCACCTGCGCGGGGGAGGGGCTGCTGAAGAGGAAGATAAGGGGCAGAGACCTCCGCGAAAGGCTGGACAGTGCCCTGGAGGTTGGCCAGGGACAGGAGAGCCGAGGGAGGCCTGAGGCGGTGCACAGCTGCTCTTCAGAGCGAGAAAGGGCACTGCTCACAACAGATGGGACAAAGGGGCAAAATCGTTGTTATATAAAGCGTTCACACACATTACATTAGATTTTTTCCTAAGACCCTCATTGGGAAAAGAGGCAAAATATATGAAATAACTCATTCATCCACTCACAAGACACAAACGCTTTTTTTTTAAGCCTTTGAAAGAATGTCAAACTTAGTAGCAATCAAAGCACCGGAGCAAATGAGAACGAGATAACCATTTTCATTTATCAACATCTGAACAGTGAAATAGTCCATGTTGGTTTGAGGGTGAGGTGAATAAATACTCATAAACTCTGGGGAACATACACTGGGACAACTTACCTGAAAGGAATTTAACAATTTATTTTAAGAGGTTTAAAATGTCCATACCCTTGGATCCAGGAAATCCCCTCTAGGATAAACTACTCCTGCTCATACAATTTGTATTAACACTACATTTTTTATTTTTAAGAGACAGGTCTTGCTCTGCCACCCTGGCTGGAGTACAGTGGCACGATCACAGCTCACTGCAGCCTCGAACACCTGGGCTCAAGTGATCTTCCTGCCTCTTGACTAGCTGGGACTACAGGTGGCATGCCCCCCAGGCCTGGCTATTTTTTTTTCTATTTATCGTAGAGATGGGGTCTCACTATGTTGCCCAGGCTGGTCTCAAACTCCTGACCTCAAGCGATCCGCCTGCCTCCTAAAGTGCTGGGATTACAAGCATGAGCCACCGTGCCTGGCCTAAATTGTTAAATTTTTGAAGAGATGAACTAGCCCCCTATGATAAGATATGTGTGCAGTAGAATTTCTTACCCCAGGTTTTCTTCTTTCTGAAGGGGCTCTAAGCAGATCTCTGTTCTCCGTCCTAGTTTATATTCCCTAGTAAGTGGAACAAAAAGAGTGACATGCCATTTAATTTTTTAAAACAATTTTTTACCAATTTTAAGCTTTTTTCTTCTGCAAAGGACTGTTTTCTGAATACCGTATAAAAACACTCAAGCTTTTGGAAAAAGAGGAAAACTAGAATAGTTCTTGTGGTGATTACATACTTGGGTCATTTCTTAATAAACATGGAGGTCTGGCTCTATAAAGATGGCCAGATTGCTAAAGAAACTTCCCTTTGTTGGGCCAGAGTTCGGATTCTCAAGCCAGTCCCGTGAGGGTAGTAACCAGAACTGAAGTAAAGGAGCCCTCAGCCCTGCTTTTTGCAAAGGAAACTAACGACTAGTTAATGCTCCAGCAGGGCCAGCTGAGTCACACCTTTCCTGAGTGAGAACCTGTTCACTCCGCCTTCTACTTCCCTCCAAATACTTTTAAGTTATGAGAAGAATGTCACAGTTTCTGGAGCGCAGAAAACATACTCAAAGCTACATTTATACTTAATATGGAAAGCTGAAATCATACTAGGGTTCATGATAAAAAGCATCATCCAACTCATTCCTGGAATCACCAGGAATGGGGTGTCTGTTATTATCTGACACGAAAGACGAGTCCCTCCATCAAGCCCTCTCACTGCCCAGCGCTGCGGCGGGAGGGACGGCTGCGTGTCCACCTGCCCACCCAGGAACCTACTTGAGCGGCTGCCGGTTGGTTCGTAAAAGCCTGCCTGGGCGCTTACTCTCCACCGTCCAGGCTCTGAGGAAGGCTGGGGACGGAACACCAGACTCCAGGAAAGGGTGCAACGTCATGGCCTAGAAAAAGAAACAGACATTTCTCCAACGGTTTTACAAAGCACTGTTAGAAACATGTTGCTTCAGGAAAAAAAAGCAGTACTGCACAGTGACACTGAGGGCAAGAGTCCTCCAGTGATGACAATGATAAAATTCTATTTTGAATCACAGGAATATCCATCTCTTAAAGGAAATTAATCCTGAGTAATTTTTGTACTCCACCGAAATCAGCTTGAGAAATGAGTTTTCTATTTCTAAATATGAGCCAAAAGCTCATTTTTAATCACTATGTTCCAAAAATGAAACTTTGGAATTAATTTCCATGGGAGTGTAATTCACAAGAGCAGAGTCTGCTCTAACAACAGCCAGGGCTTCATCTTCAACTTTCGTCAGTGCTAATACGATTTTCCAATGTTTGCTCTGCCAGTGAAGTAACTTTTGATTCAGAAATATTTCAGAATCTTTGGCTCTAACCAGGAGGCCCAAACTGTGTTCTAATTCTGCAGGAGTGGATAGCTTTAAGCCCCTATTTATATTTAGGTTGAAGCATATAAAGTTGCCAACATTCATCCATTTTTGATCTTAAAACAGCATCTTTCAACCTACTACAAGAAAAAAAAATATCTTCCCACTTGTTCTCACAAGGTTATTTCATATGTTGAGGACACACAAAAGCCAAATATCAACAAGTGCCAGTCATATATATGCCTCCACATTTTTGCCTTTGAGAGAAAGAAGGGATGTTCATTTAAGTCCAGCAATAGTAAGATGCTTCTTCAACATTGTGTTATACTTAATCCAGCCTTTCCATTTGGACAAAACCCTCCTCTGTGAATATTAATGCGTAAGAAAACAATACAATATCTAGGATCCTAACATAAAAGCTGATATTCTGACCTCCTGGGAAACTGATAACACAGCTTTTCATAACAACATTTAACATATGGATCACGATGGTACAAAACAATGTAAATAAAGGGGTAAAGTGAATGCTTTACAAATGTTTCAAGAAACCATGTTTCCCTATAAAATAAAAATGAACAGAAGCTGCAAGTCACTGAGGATAGAGTCAAACAAAAGCACAGCATGCCTGTCAGAGTGGGGGTCAATGAGGGCCACGAGGAGCTGTCTGCACCATGGGCGTGTGCTGCCTGCTGGGTACTTACCACTGAACATGGCATATGACAAATGCCATATCAGAACAGACTGTAATTGGGGGAAAAGGAGATAGAAGAATATATTAATATCTCACTCTTCGGAAGAAGCCATATCACCACTAAGTTACGCTGCAGGAAGAAGTCTGACCTGAGTCTTCAGATCCGCCAGCACAGCATCTTCTGAGATCTCTACGTCTCCCACATAGAGGACAGAACCTTCCGCAGGCACGTTCCCAGGAGCACCTTCCAAAGGACAGAGGTGGATGCTTAGAAGGAACATCAAACTTTATTTCATATTTCTGAAACACATTGCCATGTTTTGACACATAATAGGTTTATTATTAGATTCAAGAATCTCTGACTCTGGGTCCCTCACGACTTCAGTGGGAAGGAAGCATGGCCTGGCGGGGGAGCAGTCAGGGGCGTGCTACTGGCGGAACACCACGAGGAACTTGACACTAATGCCGTCTACCTAGAATGTTCTTTCGCACATTTTTTCCTTCTTCAAAGATTTTGTTGGTAGGATACTCTGCCTATATCCTTTATATTAGCTTCCTGTTTCTCATAACACTGATCCCAACCTATTACTCCTTTGTCAGTTTTCATGTGTGCATGTGTGCGCTGGTGTGTGTTTAATCAGCCTCCTCAAAACAACAGGATTTCCAAGAGGGGGCAGGCCATCTATCTTGTTCGTCTCCTCAGTGCCTGGTGTGGTGGGTGCCACACAGTAAATGCCCAATAAATGTTTACTGAATGAAGGAAATCTTGACAATAAGAAGGACTTTCCAAGTTTGTTTAAAAAGGGGGAGAAACAAAATGATGGGTCATCAAAAACTCTGAACATAAAAAAGCTGGTAACTAAATTTTAAATTCGGAATATCTTTACTCATTTTTGCTTTAATTAAATATCTTTGTTGCTGAGCACACTACTAATACATAATAAATTATAGATAGAGCATAAGTAAATTAAGTGCATTAGTAGTTTGTCTTGTGTCTTAAGGAAACTACAGGCTGGCACTACCCTGAAGACACTTCTAGGAAATTCTGCAGAATGAAATATACAGTCATGTGACACACAACACAGTTTTGGTCAAAGATGGACTGCATATATGATGGTGGTCTCATAAGATTATAATACTGTACTGTTACTGTCCTTTTTTGTGTTTAGATATGTTTAGATCCACAAATACTAACTATTGTGTTACAACTACCTACGGTGTTCAGCACAGTAATGTGCTGTACAGGTCTGTAGCCCAGAAGCAACAGGCTGCACCACACAGCCTAGGTGTGCAGGCGGCTCTGCCACGTGGGTCTGTGTGAGCGCACTCTGTGATGTCTGCGCAACGAGGAAATCACCTAACCACACGTTGCTTAGAATGCATCCCATTCTTAAGCTACACATAACTGTATTTCCCATTTTTTGTGATACAGAAATGCTACCAAAAATGAACCTTTTTCTTCCATGGAGAAACATACTGATTAAACATGCTTTTAAAATCTGATATGTAACTAGTAGTCTATCACTAAAACATTTTTAAGAATTAACATGAATATAACCCAACTAAAAAACTTTAGCCAATTTCATAGCTGATTCAACATATTTTATAACTCTATACATATAATCCAAACTTCAAAGGTTAAGGAGATAGGATTTGACTCATTTATATTAATTTCATTACTGAGGTTTAAATGATAAAAAGAAATATATGATACAACACTCCAAGTAACCAGAAAAGATAAATAATTAAGTATAACATGATAAAAAAAAATATAGCTAACAAGTTGGGCCTACTAAAAACACATTCTTTTCATCTACAGTTATGAATACAAAAGAGATTAAATTGTGTTTTCTTTATAATGAAGTAGAAATCTTCTTTGTATTACATAAAGGCAATTCAACTCACTGCTAGCAACTTCTGCTCATTGTGATGTGTATACTGAATTTTGAGTAAGACAACATGTTTGTTCTCTGTCTATATTTCTTTTCAGAAGTCAGTGAAAAGATTAGAAGCAGCTTCTCAGGGTTTTGGGGGTCGAAGCAGAAAGACCAGGAGACATGCAGGATGCAGACTCCCGTCTTGGTCTCTGCCCCGTGGCTGCAGTGAGGTTGGTGGAATCGGTTGAAGACTCAGTACTTTGGTACAGGATAATGGGGCTGCTACTGCCCTGAGGGTCTTGACAGATGACATATAAAAGATCTTTGAAAAAGAAGAATAGATTGATATAATAATAAACATAACAATAATAAGATATATAGTGTTTTACAGAGGTTACAAAGCACTGTATAAAAATAGGATAGTGTTATTAATATCAAATGACTTACCTTATAAACAGGTTTTAATTTCCAACCTTACATCTTTAAAATAAATATTGCAGTTGCCTTGGAGCAGAAGCAGTCATTTTACTTTTCTTTATGACACTCTGGCAGCTGAAATTCCTTTCTGTCCTCACCTTGGGTGGAAGCAGCTCTCCACACCCTGCCTTGAGAAGGGATACAGTTGGTGTGGTCCTGATGGCTCTCCCAGTGTCCTGAGGGACCCCGCGGCTGGTACCACCAGATGGGCACCTTCAAGAAACCCTGAAGAATGGAGCATTTTTAATGAGGTGATTAAGTGAACCTCTCTATTTCTCCCATGGAGAGAAATTGTCTTGATGACATAAAATGTACTTGAGAATTTACTATTTTTCCTGTTAGATTTATTAACTGTCATAAATTATACTTGTTTATTGTTCTTACAATCAACAATTTAAAATCAGAAAAATCAGACTTCAGTGTTACTGGACTAAATATGTTCTTTGCTTAGTAGATAAATAACTGAGAGACATAAGTAGTAATAAAACATTTGCCTGAAACGCTGCACCAATATTTCCAGGCACCACAGAGCACTGCTGGCACAGTGCACCAGTCGCGGCAGTTCCATTTACTATACAGAAGCAACAGCCTGTTGATCTAAGTTGGACTCCGGTACACAAACCACATGAAGTAAACCCACTGCTTTATACAGACCCTGTAACTCCAGTTTTACTAATTTAGCTAGTTATTCTCATCTTTTTTTTGTGTTAGTAAAGAACTTTGATAGCTTCATTAAGAGATTAAAGATGTTATTGTTACAGTGCTCAATTTCCAAAAGAAAATGAGAATGTGAAAAATAATCATGTAAAATATTTTAAATATATAGTTCTAGAAAATGCACATTAGAATATTTTTCAGTTTATCAAATTGGTGAAGATTAACAAATACCCAACCTCCATTCGGTTAAATAAATGTAACATGAGAATAACAGAATTCCATTTTTTTCACCTGGCAGACTGTCAAAAACCAGAAAGTCTAATAACATTCCATGTTGATAAAAGTATGAGTAAACCTGGACTCCTGTAAGTTGGTGGCAGGAATATATACTGCTGCAAAGTTTTCAGAGAGTAATTTGGTCACATCTCTCAAAATTTAAAATGTGCAAGTCCTTTGACGCAGCGATTCCACATTTAGGAATTTACCTTCTGATACACTAGTGCATGCACAGAAAGCCATGTATCCAAGGACATTCATGCAAATTGGTTATGGGAGCAAACCCATGAGCCAACCTCAAAGTCCTCTTTAGAAGGCTGGTTACATTATAGTAGGGCATAACCATAGCTCGGTACTTTTGACCAAGCAATTTCAGTTTCAGGAATTTATCCAGTAGATCTACTCATATACACCTAAAATGGCACATATACAGTTTTTATATTGTATCAGTAAAAGATGGGAAACAACCTACATATTCTTCAAAAAGAGGCTGGTTCATAAATTATAGTATCTGTATATTAATGGAATATTATGTACCTACTAAATAGAATGAAATAGCTTTATATGTCCTGACACACAGCATATGCTTGGGAGATAAAATATTAATGAGAAAACCCAGGTACAGAATAGGGTGTCTAGCATATCATCTTTTGTGCAAAGAAAAAGGGATATATATGTATACGTGTGGCCATATATGCTATGTATATACACATACACAAATGCGAGCATGTGCATATGTGCGTATTAAAAAGTACACACCTCTGGCCAGGCGGGCTCTGCCACGTGGGTCTGTGTGAGCGCACTCTG